CGGCCCGGCATGGCCAGGTGTTAGGGCGCTCGGTTCCCAATCTGCGGGTCGCGGGTTCGAATCCCGGTCACACCAAACAAGCTTGCCCTTTCAGCCGTGTGTGTGGGGGGGTTAAATTTTACGGGCAATCCCACTATTCGTTGGTGAAAGAGTAGCCCAAGAGTTGGCGGTGGGTGGTGATGACTAGCTGTCTTCCCTCTATTCTTACATTGTTAAATTAGGGACTGCTAGCGCAGATAGCCCTCGTGTAGCTTTGCGCGAAATTCAAAACAAACAAACAAACAATCCTCTCCTAGCGAGGCGCCCTTTGCAAGGGCTCTGAGTGCACGTTGGTTAATCCGGGCTTTCTGCCAGGTCAGAGACCTTTAGGATTCGGTTATAGCTTTGATCTACTAACCGGAAAGAAGGTCATCGAGCAGACAGAAAAGCTTTATTAAGCTTTGAACCGAACATAGGATTTACTGACACCTTTATAACATGCACACAACTGAATATGGATCATTATTATCGGTATCGCTTCTCGAACTCAGGAACTTTCGACACGCTAACGACTAGGCAACACTTAATTCTCTTTCGTTTATAAACGAAATAAAACATTAAAGAAAGATAATAGAATAAAATATCGGAATAATTGAAGGGGAAATGAAGTAGGTTATATTTTCTTTGAATAGGGAGCCTAATTGGAGGATAAAACTAATTTAGATTCTGAACAAAATAAAAAAATAAAATAATGGCCCCCCAGTGGCACAGCGGTATGTCTGCGGACTTACAACGCTAGAATCCGGGTTTCGATACCCGTGGTGGGCAGAGCACAGATAGCCCATTGTGTAGCTTTGTGCTTAATTACAAACAAACAAAATCAAAATATTTATGTAATAGTCTTATTTCGCCAGAAAATCGTTTAAAAGAGGATACGAGAGATTTCTTAAGCACTGAAATAACAGTTTCTTCATACTGCATTGGACCTAGAAAATGTTTGAGGAACGTTAAAATATAAAAAAAAAAACAACAACAACAAAAAAAACAACAACATTTGATCTAATATGGAGTGAGGAACAATTAAACTACGGTATTTTTGAAACGTAAGAATCGCGTGCAACTGATTATTTCTTAAGTAGCTA